ATTTGTAACAATGAAAATACATCCTGCATATCAGATATTTACATGACAACTCATAACAGTAGCACAATGACGGTTATGAATTAGCAACGAAAATACTTTTATGGTTGGGGGTCACCACAACATGAGGAACTATATGACAGGGTCAAGGCATTAGGAGGGTTGAGAACCACTGATCTTTTTTTTTTTTTTACATGTGCAAAATTTTATTGTGGGAATTTCTATAATAGCAAAACAATGGGAACAATCAAAACCTGACTCTAGAGGGATGGATAAACCAACTTCCGTATTTATACAATGGATTGTTACGGAGTATTACTAAAACACGAGTCTGTTAGTCATTTTAAGACATGGACATAGCAAGAGAACATTAAGATTAGGAATGTTAATCTCACAAAGGTAATTATTTTATGAACTCATTATTATAGGAAATTAAGAAAACGTAGTTTTCATAGGAAAAGATAGGATTTTACGGACTACAAGGGTGATGGAATGTGGAAGGGGCAGTAAGAAGAAAGGGACAAATTTTGTAGGAAGAGATAGACCAAAAAAAAAATCGCGTAAAGTGGGGTGGGGGGGGAGCACAAGGTCACTTTTACTGATTTGACTTGATGAGATGGACAGTGCAGTTACACAGAAAATGTTTTTCTTTTTTTTTTTAGGTTTCACCTGTAATTTAAAAAAAAATCATTTTATTAGGGGCTCATACAACTCATCACAATCCATACACACATCAATTATGTAAAGCGCATTTGTACATAACGTATGCATGTGTATCAATCATGGCCTCATTCCCGCTTCTGTAGTTCCATCTGCTACTGTAATGTATTCATCTGCAGCCAAGTATCCTGTACTCCCGTATGTTATTTAAGCAGCTGATTTTCTGTATATGCTCAGATAGATACCACTGTGGCCTTGTGCCAATGGTCTCCCTCATGATGGATGATTTCTCTTTGTCTCTATAAATCACATCTGAATTGGGGGTTTCTTTTGTCCCCTACAACACATGTAAAACAAATGTATATTAAGTTTTAGTTCACATCCTGATTCCCAAAATGTCCCTCACTAACATTTCCCATGAATTGCCCTTCATAAATTTGTAGCAAAGTTAGAGACAGAGTTGTTGGCATGAGAAGACAAACTAGAAGTGTAAAGAGAAAATCAGCCCGACAAAACGCTTTGTTAAACATCTCTGGGTGTAACCACCTCAGCATGCCACACTCACTGCTAATGCTTCAACCTATTGTACCCTTCCGTGTCTGCTGCCATGGATTCCCTGTCCTCAGCCTGCAAGCACAAATCCTTTACTTCACCTAAAACCGCATCCCTGCCAGGCCCTTCTGTCTCCTTTCCCCGGGAGGGATTTGGTGCACTGCATGAATATCTGTATGTTTCCCATTTCAAAATTAATTTATTCCTTCCATAAAAATCTTACCTTTTTGAGTGTCACTACAGCGTTTTCACGAGGACAACGGACTTCCCAAAGGTAACCACACTCCTCTTTCCTGTTATTTATCAGCATTTTGTGGGGACATGCTTTGAAACTTTTTCATTTAACTTTTATTCATGTGTTTATTCTTATCAGTACACATACACATTCATTTCAGTGTTGTTCAGTGGAGTATAATCTGTTGCTGTCATTTATTTTCAGAAGATGGGGCTTTCTATTCCTGTAAAGTTACAGCCTGGGAAACTCCCGGGGCAGGTCTGCCCTGTGCTATAGTGTCGCTGTTACAGTAGGGTGACCCCTTTTCCGTGTAGATACAGGCGCTGCCGGCCTCTAGAAAGGTGCAGTGGTGTGATGGCAATGCTGAGACTGAACAAACAGGTAGTAGAAGGCAGCACAGCAGTTACTGAGCAGTGAAGTCAGGATGCACTGGGTCAGGCCCCAGCGGGTCTAAACTACTGAAAAGGAGAAAGCAGTGAGAGCCAGCCCAGAGCCTGCAAGCTCTTTTTGAGTCTGGCAGAAGCTATTGAGCCCAAAGCTCAGTGTAAAAAACAAAACAAAAAAGGCAGTTGTCCCTGGTTGGTTGGGATTCAAGCGGTGGTCCCTGGTTGGCTAGGACACAACTATGTCCTTATATGGAAAAGTCCTGGGTGGTCAGACTCACGGCCTCAGGCCCCCCCATTTTTGGTATGTGGTGACTCATCAGTTAGACTGGTCAGGTGGCATTCCCTGTCCTTGTCACTGCTTATGTTGTCCCCCAGTTAATACAGTGAGAACTCCTTTATGCTGGCTCCTTTTCCCACAGCAGCCCTAGAGGGCAGAGTAAGACTGCCCCTGTGCGTTTTTGAGACTTTGAACTTTTTTTTTTTTTTTAACATTTTATTAGGGGCTCATACAACTGTTATCGCAATCCATACACACATCAATTGTGTAAAGCACATTTGTACATCATTCTCAAAACATTTTCTCTCCACTTAAAACCCCCGACATTAGGTCCTCATTTTTCCCCTCCCTCCCCGCTCCCCTCTCCCTCATGAGCCCTTGATAGTTTATAAATTGGTATTTTGTCATATCTTGCCCTGTCCGACGACTTTGAACTCCTTACAGGAGTAGAACACCTGGTTTTGCTCCCTCGGAGCTGCTGGTGGTTTTCAACTGCTTGCCTTGCAGTTAGCAGGCCCCCCCTTTCTTCAGTGAGTACTTCTTACTTTCTGGCCCAGAGACTTCCTCCATCCTGGAGTCTGCTGTTTTCCCAAAGAGAGGTGATTCCTTTGGATGATATTTAGAACAAGATCTGGGCTCCTAAGTGTGATCATTGCTACTGGGGTCTTTTTGAGCCCAGACACGTTCATGAACGTTGCTAGGGACTGCTTGTAAATATGAATGTATGTACAAGATGTATTTCTATACTATACACACACACAGTCTATACACAAAATTCCATTACCTTTTAACTTCATTTTCCCCACAAACTCTTTAAAGTCCATTATATCTCTCTACACACACACACACACACACACACACACACAGCTCACACTGGTAACCTCCAGTTCAAATCCAATATCATAAGACTTGTGTTTATTTTTCACCAATAGTTAAAATTCTTTTCTTTGAGAATAAGAAATCTGGTTTCCTCAGTCCTTAATCTATTCCCTTGTTTGGTCAATCTTTTTGTATTAATCGATCTCCCATTGTAGCATTGGCTTCTCCTGTATGCCCAGTATGTGTAGACTTTGAAGGGATTCAATAACCAAAGATCAGGGTGACTACAGTTTGGGAGGGCAAGCATGGTATACTTGGTAAGTGGGGAGAGGTGAGCAAGAATTCCTTTTCATTTTAACATTTTTCAGGAATCCAAACTATTTTAAACCCAGAGAAAGGGCACAAAGAAGATTAAAATAGCAGCACTGCTTCACAAAATCTAAAACCACAACCTCACATATTTATAACAAGGAATTTAAAACTGGACAGCCTAGTTTAAGTTAAAAAATATTTATTGTCAGATACAAACATCAATAGTGACAGCTTGACACGTGGCTCATTCTAACTGTGTTAAAGGTGAAGCATCACTAGGACGAAAGAGTAGCTGGGCTTAGGGACCACATAAGCAGCACCAACCTGAGATCTGACACATATCTAAACTGCAATTCTTACAAAACCTCCAGCAATCACTGGCTTGAACATCTATTTATATATACATATTTATGTTTGATGTGTCCTTAGGGTGAAACAAAAAAAGTCATCTAATATTTTAAGAGGTTCAAAGTGAACACTGATATTTGGTATAACAGTGTTATTCTAGTGATCTAGAAATTTGTTGTAAATAACTTAATGATAGGTGCTGAGCGGGTATTTCATGTTAAAGACACGATACATTTAAGTAAATTGAATATATTTCATAAGAAGTGGGTATACTTTCTATTCCATAAAAATATGTTTATGGAAGTAACAAAGCCCACACGGAAGAAGCACACCAGCCTATGTAACCATGAGGTGTCGAAGGGATCAGGTATAAGGTATCATCAGAACAAAAAATCTTACCATAGTGAATGATGGGGGGAATGCGGAGTGGAGACCCAAAGCCCATTAGTAGGCCACTGGAGATCCCCTTGCAGAGGGGTCTCGGGGAGGAGATGAGCCAGTCAGGGTGCGATGTAACAACGATGAAAAATACAACTTTCCTCTAGTTCCTAAATGTTTCCTCCTCGCTCCCACTACCATGACACGATTTCGACCTTGCCAGTCTGGCTAGACCAGAGGATGTACACTGGTACAGATAGGAACTGAAAATGCAGGGAATCCAGGGCGGATGAGCCCTACAGGACCAGTGGTGTGAGTGTGATACTGGGAGGGTAGAGCGGGAGTGGGTAGGAAAGAGGGAACCGATTACAAGGAACTATATGTGACCTCCTCCCTGGGGGACGGGCAACAGAAAAGTGGGTGAAGGGAGACGTCAGACAGGGCAAGATATGACAAAATAACAATTTATAAATTATCAAGGGCTCATGAGGGAGTGGGGAGCAGGGAGGAAGGGGAAAAATGAGGACCTAATATTGGGGGTTCAAGTGGAGAGCAAACGTTTTGAGAATGATGAGGGCAATGAATGTACAAATGCGCTTTACACAATTGATGTATGTATGGATTGTGATAAGAGTTGTATGAGCCCCTAATAAAATGATTTAAAAAAAAATTACACAGGTGAAACCTAAAAAAAATAAAATAAAAATAAAAAACATTTTCTGTGTAAAAAAAAATCTGTTTCTGAAGAATTATGAGTGTCTGATGTGTGCCTCGACACACTTTTGAGTTTTTTTTAAGTGGACCATATTTGGTACTAAATGAAGCATATAAAGGCAAGGAAAATTATGACTCAGCTGTTCTACCAGAATTGCCCACCTTGACCTGAAATTTATACTATTTCTTGGTCATTGACTGAACAGAAACAACAGATCAAACTAGAAAGCACTTTTATGATGGACTGAAACAGAACCTAGGGCTAAGACGAGGCTGCTTCACCAATAGCCAGCCTCCCACAATCATAGTTACGAACGTGAAACTCATTCAAGAATTCAAATTTATACCAGATGTTGAAAACTTTTCAAGTTCTCTTGCTAAATATGTCCTGGCTATGTGGCCAGCTAAAATAAAATGCTCTATTCAAGTAAGGAAATCCACATAAAACAAACACATTTTATAAAGAGCTTATTTTACTCTAAACTTCCTTAAAAAACAAACAAACAAAATTCCAAACCAAAACTTTGTAACTAAAATCTTGAAACACAGCACTGATGGCCACATTTTGAGTCTCTGATGAATCCTGAAGGCCCGCCTTTTCTTCATGTTTCAAGAGTCTCTTCATTTGCTCCACACGTGTCAACCACACAAATCAAACAGCTCGTTACAGGGAAGGCCCGGACTTTGGAGTTGGCGATCCATTTGTCTGTTTCAGTATTATATTCAAGGATGTGTCCTAATCGACCCACACCTTGAAAACCAGCCAAGACATACACGATGGAGCCCACTGCTGCACACTTCACGGTTACACCCTTCCATGGCATTGGCGAGACCATCTTCCATTCGTTTAATTTAATATCATAGTACTCCACATTGTCCAGACCACCTTCAAAAGAGTAATACATCATGAGCACAGTACAATTCTATGAAGCACTCGTAAAGGGATATTTTTTGCTTTTTCCCAACATTGTATTAATAATTTTCAACCACACAGAAAAGTTGCAAGACTATTATTAGCACATGCTCATATATTCACCACCTAACTTCTACCATGCACATTTTACTATTCTCCAATGTAATATCCAATTTTTGCTTTAGAATTTTCAAATATTGACATTTATTCTACAACTGATTTTTTTTAATATTCTGAAAAGGAAAAGGAAATCAGTGAATTTCCCCAACTGATTAACTTTGATTATAATTATTCAAATATCTTTATTTTCTTCTACCATTGATCTTTTACAGGAAATAGCCATGTGGTAGAACAGACAGGAAAAAAGCTATTTCTACTAAAGTAAAATTTAAAGGAATTGGGTAAAATGGAGTTTGTGGACTAGCTCTACATAAAGTCTAGACTCCCTATTACTTAAGATGTTTAGAATTTTTCAGCATATAATAGAACCCAGAGCCAGAGTTGATTCTGACTCATAGTGACCCTATAGGGGTTTCTGAGATTGTAAATGATTATGGGAGTTGACAGCCTCTTCCTTCTCCTGAGGAGCTGCTAGAATCACTGAACTTTCAGTTAGTGATCTAACACCTACCCACGAGCAGGTCAAATTTACTCAGTTTGAAAAATAAGAATATTGATGCTTTAATGCAATGTTGGAAGATATTTAGGAAACTTTGCTATTCAGTGCCTGGATACAAGTCCTAAAGCCTGTAAAGCGAAACAAAAAATAATGGTGTAAATCAATTGTTTATTACTCAAAAGTTCTTAAAGCTGTTGCGATATCATTCATTCCTTTCCTTAGGAGGTATCTGGAAACAGGTAGAGAGCCCGCTGAGATTATCACAATGCCTGGAGGCCTTTACTGATATTTCATGGACAGGGATGATAAATGTCCTGCAACATTTCATAAAATGCACTAGGTTTCCAGAAAGGAGAAACATTGCTATAATGAAGTATGTAGCATATACGTGTCTCTAGGTTTTAAGAAATGCTTTAATAATGTGTGGCAAGTCTTATTAGGAAGGTGAACCATGAATGAACACATACCTAAACCGTTCTGACCTCCAACAGCAAATATCTTGTCCTTTACAAAGACTAGGCCATGGTTCTTCCTGACCTCAATCATTGGGCACAGTTCAGTCCACCTGAAACAAACAAACAAACAAACAAACAAACAACTTTAGTGTACTCACTCACAGGAAGCAAAAGGATTCTTAGGTTCATTTACTAGAAAGGTCTGTTATCACAATCAAGTGCTCACTTACTACTTATATTCACACACACAAACCTACACACACACACAGAAACATGGCTAGAAGGCTAGAAAACAATGGCTTTATGGTGACTACTTATAGATGGAGTAAAAAGGGACTTATTTCTTTCAACTCGGGATATAAGAGAACATGAGAAATAGAAAAGATCTAGAGACAACATGTTTTTGGAGGAAATAGATATCCTATGACTCACAATAATTTGTAAAATAGGGGACCCCCCTAAAAAAACCCCGGCAAACAAATAAGTTTCCCAAAAGACAGTGCTTCTGTACTTCTAGCATCCTGCTCTCTCACCAGCCTGAAGTTCGGTGTTCAGAAAACCTGGCTTGCTTAACATGTGTGATTTCTCTAGCGTGTTGTCTTTTTAAAGCAGTTATTTGCTTCTCTGTTGGCTCATATTTGCAAATATGCTTTTGTAAGTACATGAACCCAAAGATCTTTCCCATAGGGGCATGACTTAGTAATGCTTCAATCCGGTAAGTAGTACTCCTACTTTAAGGCAGAATGGCTACTGATCCTGAAGTCATGCCCACCTCACCCCCCACCGTTCCTGCCCTACGTTTCTTGACCTGTCAAAGGTATTTTTGGTGTTTGGTTGACCAATCAGACTTATTTAAACACCCCCTGCTGCAGGGGTCCAGACTGGAAATAGGACACTGACCCAGGCATATTCAAAAGCACATGAGCATTTCTCAGTCCAAGAAGGAACATCTTCTGGTGGGTGGGTTCCCCCTGCCTTTTTGACAGCCCCTTCAACTACAATGAACAGTGAACTAAGAATTTTAAATGGACACGTACGTTTCTGTGGCGGGATCGTACACTTCACAGGAGTTCAGCACTCTCCCAGAGACATTGTTCCCTAAACTTCCACCACAAACATAGATCAGGCCATTGGCTTCCACCATTCCGTGGCTGCAGCGCTGAGTCAGCATGCTGGGCTTCGTGTGCCAGCTCTCCGTTCTGGTATCATAGCACTCAAATAAATACAGAGCAGAGTTTCCTGGAAAAGAAAGGGCTCCAGGTTGCTTAACTTTGTGGGTATGTGCTAGTGTCTGCAGGTGGGTGGTTTGGCGTTAACTGAAAATAGAGCTGAGCCAGCAATTGTGGGAGGGAAGGATTTAAGGTTGTGTAATCAGTCAGCTTTATCCTCAATCAACAATAGCGGAAACACATAGGAATGGTCTTTCAAAATGTAAATAGTCTTACTTTCCACTTACAAAGAAGAAGCTAGCACCATTTGTCTTGATCCTGGAAAATTTCAAAGAAGGATTTATTGAAAAGACCTATTTACTAGTAATTAATTGAGCTTTAGAAGAAATTGGTTTGCTTTTAAAAGAAAAACAAACATTCCAAGTTGAACTTCAGAAACATGACCCATGTCTGCAGTCTGTAAATGATGGAGCAGGCAGTGAAGAAGCACCGCTAATGTCTGATGACTGGAGGGTGAAAGCTGGGGGCCTTGGGAATGCAAAACTCAGGCCTTGGTCACAGGATGGGAGTGCGGCATGACAGACGGCTGCGACACCAATGACTTATGGCAAACGACTTGAAAAGATGAAAGCATGTACAAGCTATTATTTGTCTAGTCTTCACTACAATATTCACTTAGAGGAAAAACACCACTGGACACTTGACAAAGTACCCATCAATGAGAAAGGTTGCTACCCCAACACCCAGTTCTGATCATGAATTACAAAACACCCCTGGCCAGTCAATAGAGGCAAAAGTTAATAAAGCAAAAGACAAAGATCATTCATACTTCTTTTTTTTCAATCTCAAATAGCCAAAGCTTTATTTATTTAAAATTAAAAACTTTTTATTGTGAATTGGGCGAAGGTTTAATAGCAGATCATCATTTTTACATTCCCCAATTCATGCACATTTTGTTTCACTCATTGATTGCAATCTTCTCAATATAACGACACTTCTTCCACTTCGCAGTGTTTTCTGTTTCACTCTCTCCTTTTCTCCTAACCCTTCTGAACTGTGTCCTTGGGTAAATGCTGTCCTTATGATCACAAACAGTTGACTGTTCTAAGGTGTGCATAGCTCACTAAAGTTATTGACTATATGGACTATCTTGTTATTGACTTGCATTTTTATTCAGCTAAAAGAACATCCCTGGTTGTATGCAGTGACCCTACTGAGAATTTTGTAGTCTATCAAGTTTAGGTAACCTCACAGTGAGAGCCAGGAATTTTTTTTATTGTATTCATTTAAACAATCTTTCTGTTATACTTTTTTTTTTTTGATACAAAGAAAGGAAGATTTGAAAGCTTGAATGTAATAAGAATTTGTAAAAGGTCTATGAAAAAGTCAAACTCTGAAATCTTTAAAGCTAATATAGCAAAACCCGTGAACTTCAATGCCCATGTAAAGTGGAAACCTGCCAGCAAGGAAATTTTGAATAGTTTCCTCTACACAAGCTACAAAAATTGGGAAGATTCCACCCTGTCAAAGATGGAAAACGTGCAAGACCTGGAAGAACAAAGGCTGTAACATGGAGCTGTGGCTCTCACGCTCCACTTTATCACACGTTGTCATGGATTGAACTGTGTCCCCCCCACATTATGTGTCAACCTGGCTGCGCCATGACTCTCTGGTTTGAGTTATGTAATCTTAGGTAAGGTGTGATATGTGCGAGAAGTCCATCACTTGTGAAAGGATTTATAGTGGGATGCAACACCCCTAAGCCCTTGATAGCTCTGATCTCACAGTTGGGAATTTTCCTGTGAAGGCTGTGGCCTACAGCATCTTTTAACTCCCAAGAAAATAAAAGGAGAGAGATGCCAGGAGACCGAGACGGATCTGATACCACTATGAAAAAGTGCCAAAAGTGAAGTGTGCCTTTGAACTTGGGGTCCCTGCGCTGAGCAATTTCTAGACCCAAAGGAAGGCTGATGCCAAGACACATGGAGATTGCTAAGGAATGCTGGGCCTACAGGTGCAAAAAGGGGCAGTGACTTTTCCCCAATGCTTCTCCTTAGCTGCCACTTTGAATTCAAACTCCCAGCTTCCTAAACTGTGCGAAGATACATTTTGGTTTGTTGATGCCACCCATCTATGCTATTTCTGTTAGAGACAGCTAGATAACAAAGACATGTACACAAAACAATCTAATATCCAAATTTAGATGGTGTCATAAAAAGCTGACAATGAACATAATCTAGGAAGATGAAATTATAAATTACTGATTTACAAAGGAGTCTGGTAAGCCTTTGATCAATGAGCTAAAAAACTGTGACAGATGCACATTTGGATTATATTTGGACAAACAGTACCAGTTGTTTATTTCAGTAAGGAAGCCCCAGGATCTGTAGTGTTAAAACACTTGCCCCTGCCGAAAGAGTGACGTTATGCTTACCTACTTCAGAACCTCCTGAAGTATAAATTTTGCCTTCTGCAGCACAGGCAGCAAGGCTATCCCGAGGTGTTGGAGGGCCCAGTTTAGAATACCAGCTGTCCTTCACGACATTATAGCAGTCCATTCGTTTTATAGGGAAAAGCTGAGAGCCACCCAAAATGTACACGACGTTGTCCCAGAACACGCATGCAGCATCTCTTCGCTTTTCAAAGGGGCATCGGATATCAGTCCAACTATAATCCTGTAACAGCAAAGGACAGGGAGCTTTCAATACGGGAAAATCTAATCGGAAGATTATCTTCTAGAAAATACAAGACTGTGTTAGTTTACTTGAGTAGGCATAGAAACACTAGCTTGAGACTAGTATTTCACTTATATTGTATCCCTTCTTCAGAATGTTGGGGTGCAGCAAGAGGAGACATGTAACTGCTTTGGGTTCTATCTTGCTTTAAAATGAACTTAAATACATTTGGATAAATGGTCGTCAGCCTGGCTTCTATTCCTTCTCTTATTGTGGGCAAAGATACAATAACGTTTTTAAGTAAGCAACTCTGGGTTTGTTTGTTTTTTAAAGCTTGAAAAAACTTTACATTAGAGAAAATGTAACCATGTGCCCCCCCCACCCGCCCACCTGTGTCAGAGCATATGCCCTTATAAAGAATCACTGTATAGTACGAGTTCCAACGGCCATTATCCTACTTGTGTCTGAGGCAGAAAGCCTGAAAGTCTAAGAGAGTGCTTCGTGGGTTCTGGTGAAGCTTAGTTCTGCTATACTCAGTGAGTCACCTGCTATGAGCAGTCTGGATATTTGTTTTAGGCTCACTCTCTCATACTAAGAACAATTTATGACCCCACCCTATTGCTGTACCCTGCTCGATGATGTCAAGGACACCATCTCCTTCTTCCAGGGCTGTGTATACACAGAGCCACTCCCAACGTTGTAGCAGTGTAGATCCTCCTCTCCTGTGGGAGTAAAATCTACAGTGCTTCTGCTCTGTGAAGACCGCTGAAGAGTCATAGACACAATACAAATAATTTCCAATTTCACTGAGTAAAGTGCAAAGGTTTGCCTATTGAGAAAATTTTATAACTGTGACATTATTATGTTGAGATTCCAAAAAGCTTATGGAAAAATTCCATTATCCTTCGATATCTTTCTATTCCATGAACTTTTAGAAGTCCTCTTATATGAGCTATCTATTCAGTTACCATAAATATCCGAGTATAAGCCGACCAAATATCCACCGAGGCACCTAATTTTACCACAAAAAGTGCATTAAAAATGAGCTGGAAAATTCGGCTTATACTCGAGTATGTACAGTACATTAAATTATCACAGGATAGTATGAGCTGGCTTAAGAAAAGTATTCATTCATTTCTCTACCTTGAATGGGTCCCTACATGTAGGATATTTTGAGTCTTGGGGATGCTTTTTAGGTGACTAGGACAACAGAGTCCTAGTCCAATTAGGGCACTACTTCTCCAATAAGGATATGCACCTGTGTTAGACAGGGTTCTCTAGAAAGATAAAATAAAATTGCTGATAATTTAATATATTTATTTATAAAGATAATTAGATATATAACAAGAAATGAACTGCTAAATCATATACAGATAAATATATAATACAAAAAATAAACAGTTAAATTATAAAGCACTACAAATGGCTCAGTGCAACTCACATCCATGAGAGAGTTGTGAGAGACTAGCAGTCCTTCAAGTCTAGTCTGCTGCCAGATCTTTCTCTATTTGTAGAGAGAGCTAGGCTATGTCAGCACAGCAGCCAATCACAAGGCAGGTCACCAACTGCCAGTCCCCAGCTCCAGAGATGTCTTAAAGGGACCTCAACTTACAGCGACACAGTCCACAGGCTAGGCGTCCCACAGGTAGTGTAGCCTTTAAATTGAGGCACAGAACAAGCAAGGCAGCTGCACACTGGTCCGATGATCACAGAGCGAGAGACAAGAAAGGCAAGGCTCACCAAGCCATTTATCTCTCTGCCCTTCAGTTAATCCCACTTGTGTTTATCAGCCAGGCTGGCACAATAAACTATCTCAGTTAGTCTGGGAAAACACTTGTGTTTATCAGCCAGGCTGGCACAATAAACTATCTCAGTGCCCTACTGGGTTTCCCAGTGGGATGCCTTATGGCAGGCACACAAAAAACTACAGCGTTAACTTGCTGAACCTTTAGTTTTACACAGTGGATATTGAAAGTTGGGGAAAAGATATCTACATGTTCTCTGGAACTCTTCCTTTCTGACCAAGTTCGTTACCAGAGACAGACATGTTTAACCTAGTGAGCCTCAGCTCTCAACATCCTTACACCCAATTTGTTGAAGATATTATTAGAGAGCAATACAGAGCATCTTTATAATTTCTAAAAATAACCTTGAGAAAATTATCTCTATGCTCTTCTTTAATTAATTTTAGGATGAGGAAGTTGGTCATACAAAGGGGACTTCAGGTTTGAGGTGCCGGCCTCAAACCCAACTCTGTGGACAGTCCCCCTTACCCACAGAAAAACAGAGCAGAGGACAGCACTGAAGCTACAGCTCAGGGAGAGGGATATGTCTGATCAGAGCACATGGGAGCAAATGAAGGGGGAAGAAGAGAGAGTGGAGCACATCCTGGCCCACCAAGCCTTGAGGACAATATTCCTGCTCAGAGCAGACAATGCACAGAGAGGACCATAGGGCCGGCCCCACTATGAGACATGGCATCCCTCACTGACCCACAGTCCTACAGGGGACAACACTGGAAACCTAGTGCAGGAATTGCACCTGATCTGACCCCAACACACTGAGGCAAAACACTAAGGG